CCCCCCCCCCCCGTTCCAGGGTCACGCTCAGCTGCTCCCCGCGGGGAGCAAGAACGGAGCGACTGGAAGCAATTGTGGGCTTGTCAGCGCTCATGTGGGGCACGATTGATGTGGCCCTGTGGCTGCCAAGCTGCCTTTTCCTCCCCGACCCCAGCTCTGTGCAGAGTCCTGAGCTGCCAGGACAGCGGGAGGGTTTTGCCCTTTTAAGGTGATAGCTTGTCTGGACTCTTTCCTCTCGGTGCTCCCCACCCTCCCTGCGGAAGGGGCTGCTTCAGCAGGGCTCATTTGGGAGCTGTGCACTGCCCTGTGGTCCTGAGATGCCCGAGCTAGGTGGGGGAGAGTCTGGCTGCTCTGCCCATCCCTGTCCGGGAGGTCGGGACAGGGAGCTGTTCTCTGCCTGAGGGGTTCTCCCTGCCCCCATTTGCAGAGCTAGTGTAAAACATCTTCTGAATGCCAGGTTATTTCCACGAGTCAGTGATTCCTGTTGCTCCCCCCAGCCTTAAATAGACGTGCCTTCTGAGGCAACCAGAGCCTTCCAGGCTGCTCCTTGCCCCGGAAAGAGGACTCTGTTTCTTGGTGGCTGCTATCCAACTCCCCTACCAGCAGGCCCTGAGCTCTGCTCCACCCTGCTCGGACATGGGCTTCAGCCAGCAAGGGTGAAGCAGGTCCTTTTCCTGAGGGTCTCAGTGCTCTTCTGGGGCACAGAGCGGTGAAGGCACCCTGCACCTAGAACTGGGGACCCAGTTTGTCACCAGTTGCCAGCAGAGCTGGCTCGAAACTTGGATTGTGTCAGTGCAGCCCAGGGTTAAAGCTTGCTTAGGAAACGTGGCAGCTGCCAGTGTTTTGCTCCTGCTGGAGGCTGCAGCTGGCACATGGGTCTCTCCCCCCGTAGCCAGGTCAGTACAGACCGGATCCCCTAATCATGTTTGTGTAACTGCTTTGGCCGGTTCCCCTTCCTCCAGCTCTGTGCGGCCAGAGAGCCCAGGATACATGGCTTTGCATCCTGCTGCTGCTCCATGTACATTGATTAGTGTTACATTTCTACTGTGGTAGCACCCAAAGGCCCCCTGGGTCCTGGACACGCGGCATTGTGTGCCCTGGCCACTATCCTGCTGAGGGCCGTGCTCAGAATGCAGTGACACCAAAGGGGTTGGGCAGCATAGCGGATGTGAGGGCAGCAGAGCTACACTGTAGACCCAAAGTGAACCAGGAACTGGACATGTGTGTGCCTGTGACAAGATCCCTGTTGCAAGCCGTAGTGTAGACAGGACTTGCCCGAGGTCACACTGCAAGCCAGGAGTGGAGACAGTAATAGGACCTGCGAGTCCTGACTCCAGTCCCTTGCTCACCCAGGAGCCTGGGCAGAGTTGGAGACAGATCTGTGGCTTTGCGACACACACACATGCCTCCCTCTTGGCTGGCCAGCAGAGGCATTGTTCCACTAAGAGACTGGCTTCCTCCTTAGCTCTGGTGCCCTGTCCACGCGATGATCTGACCGTCAGCCCCTGTCCTGCTCTCAGGCAACGGGTGTGCCTAGATTCAAGGGCAGCTAGTCTGCCCTGCTCTGTCGACAGGCCTCTTCTCCAGCCTCTTCTCCTGATCTCCAGCTCTGCACCTCCCTGAAACGAAGCTGCCAATGCATGTTAGCGCGTGAGATGGGGAGTGTTGGCTAGAAGGCAGAGGTTGATGGCTTAGGTGTGTCCCAGCCCACCGCTGAGGAGGGGGTGATCCCGTGAGCTGTATGTAAGTATTCCCTAGGCTCTGGCTCCTGCAGCGCGGTGCATCCCACCCCTCCTGGTGTGCACGGCCTCTTTGCTTGTGCATGAGATTTTAACCTCTTGATTTGTGCGGAATGAAGACGACCGGCTGTTCTGCAGAGGTCTGTGCTGAGAGCAGAGGGAAGAACTCTGTGCCGGGGAGTTGACCAGCCATGTGTAAGAGCCCCCCATTTCCTCCAGTTGATGTTAATGCTGGTGCTCACTTGAGGTTGAGGGCCAGGGGCTGCAAATAGCCTCTGGGTAGACATGGATCAGCCTGATAATTAACTGCTGTCCCCAAACTGCTGCCAAGTGTAATGGGGTTTATGAAAGTTATGGAATGAGATAATTAGCATATGCCCCTAACTTGAGCTTAAATGAGTGGTTTTACGGTGAGTGAAACATCAGCTGGCAGCCCTGGAGAACGAAGCCCGGCGTGTATGTAGAGAGCCACAGCACGGCAAGCTTCACGTGCGCACTGCCCTGCAGCATGGCCCATCCCGAGGGGCGGCTGCTCGCGGTAACAAGGCAGTGCCGTCTCAGGGCCTGAGACCCCCCAAACTCCTCTTACAGAGGGGCCCCAAACATCCCGTAGATGGGAACAGCTTTTCATCCCGGCTGAGCTCAGGCAAATCCAGATCTGTCTGTAGGAAACACTGCAAAACCTTCCTCTTGAAAACCCCTTTCCACCCTCTCAGCACTGCCCCTTCACCCGAACAACCGCAGGGGCTTGGATGAAATCTAAAATCCCTCCCCCAAGCAGAACTTTCCCCCAGAGATGGCGATGTGCCCAAGAGCTCAGGGAGGCTGGTTGCAGGTGCTCGGATACCAGTGGTGGGCAGCAGTACAATCCCGGTAGTATAAAATGGGCGGAGAGCTGGGCTGGGTTCAGGATGAAGACTGAGAGGTGAAAGCTTTGTAAGCCATAGCAATGCCCTGAGGCGCCTAATGCCCCAGCAAGTGTGAAAATCAGAGGGGGTCCGATATCAATAGGCACATTAAAAACCAGCGTAGTTAGAAGAATGTTAAGGTTGCAAAGTCCATCCCTCAACCGGAATGAAGATTCCCAGTGCTACCTTAACACTCCCTCGCATACATATATGTTAGGATAGTCTTGAACTCCATAGTCACACATTAGATTCCTAGAAACGTGGGACTTGGAAGGCCCTCGAGAGGCTTTCTAGCCCTTTGTGCTGAGACAGGGCAAAGTATTAGCTAGACCATGCCTGGCTCGTGTTTGTCTAACCTGCTCTTAAAAATCTGATTCCGCAGCCTCCCTAGGTAATTTGTCCCAGTGCTTAACCACCCTGACAGGAAGTTTTTCCTGATGTCCAACCTGAATCTCCCTTGCTGCAATGTAAGCCCATTGCTTCTTGTCCTGTCCTCAGCGGTTCAGGAGAACAATTTATCACCCTTCTCTTTATAACACCCTTTTATGTATTTGAAGACTGTTAGCATGCACCCCCCCTTCTCCAGACTAAACAAACGCAGTTTCAGTCTTTCCCTGTCGGTCCTGTCAGCAGGGTTTCAGATCCATAGCACAGACCTCTCTGCGTGGCTGGTGCAGCCTGAGGGAGGGTAGTGAGCGGGCGGGCAGCAGCGGCCTCTCATCCCTGTTCAGATCCTGCCCTATTCCCATCCCCATTCAGTCACCCCAGCCTCTGGCTCCCCCATCCCTCCTGGGGCAGACTGTGCTGGCTGAGTGCCTGAAGCCAGGTATCGCCACACCTCCAGCAGCTGCTGCAGGAGGAACTGCATCTCCTGCCCACAGCTCACCAAATGCATGACCTGCAGGCTGAGATGCAGGCAGGTGTCACAGGGTGTGTGTGTGTGTGTGTGTGAGACAGACATGAGATGTGACGCTGGAGGAGGAGCCTTTAGACGTGAGTGGGCTTATGCCCACCCGCTTCCCGGAAATTCAATATGGCCAACAACTCCTGTCTGAGACCAGCCTTCCAGTACCCCAGCGCCCATCCAGCCTGTCCCCTCCTGCAGGGGGAGTGGTTGGCACTGCGATTCCAGTCCTGCAGTGTCCCGTTGTCCTTCCCTACTCACCTGTGGCTGGTGTGCGGTGCTAGGGTTCTCCTGAATCGCTCGGCTCAGCCCTCCTGTGAGACATGCCATGTTTTCTTAGGCTGCACGTGCTGGAGGCTGGAGTCCTCGAGTGGGAGGTTGTTCAGTGAGTGAAGTTGGCTGGCCGTGCCTACACACTCTTTGGGAATGGGAGCATCTCAGGCATAGCAGGGGGGAATTGTGCCCACAGGGACAGGGGGACTGAACTGAGCCTGGGGAGTCGCTGCATGACTGGGGAGAGGTGAGATTGTCTCTAAAAATGTCACCACCGCTGGTAGGGAGAGTCCTGTGTCTAGATCTGGCTTGGGGACCAGGACCAGATCCAATCCGAATTCAGGAACAGTAGGACTCTTCAGGACCAAATAACCAAGTGTCTCTCAGAAGAGACTTGGATTATTCATTAATACGCCCATTAGTGCAAGGTGAGCAGAGGCGTGTGGAACTGAGACCTCTGAGCCCCTAATGCCCCGCACCAAAGCCCCCACGCTGTTTCTCCTGGACTCCCCATTGCTGGGACTTGGGCACTAGTGGCCGAGATGTGTCTGGAACCAGCGTGTCTGCCTGCCTCTGAGCTGGGTGCTCTGGGGAGAGGGTGTTCGAAGTTAGGGAGGTGCTCTGTGGAGCACAGGTGCATGGGACTCACTGGGAAGGCTGGCAGGGTGCACCTGGAGGGAGGGTAGCTTGTGTCCTTCAGCACAGTTCCGGGCAAAAGGAACTGAGGAGTTTCCTTCTGAGGCCAGCCTAGTCTCTGACCTGGTGTGTGTTGTTATCCCGCAGGGGACACAGACATTCAGCTGGAGCGGCCAGACAGAACGCAGGGAATGGAGACCAAAGTCCCAGCACCAGGGTTCGCCACCGCCAGCAAGTCAAGAGTCCGAGCACAGCAAATGGCACAGGTGAAGCACCGTACTGGACGGGGTGATGCTTGGCTTTTCAGGTAGTGGCTGTATGGCAGGCAGCGCTCAGGGCCTCAGCTAGTGGAGGAAGATGACAACCGGCTGTACAGATGTTTGTTGAACCAAAGCTATCTCCCGGTAACACACAGCGTAGCCCACGGCTGCCCTGGAATTTCATGAAAACATTGTGTGTGGCCAAAGACTGCTGGTTCCAGCGTGCAATGCTCTATCTTGATCCAACCAGACAGCCCACGGTATGCGCTGGGACTTGTGCTCTCCCCTCACTGCCATATTTAAGGAGAGAGAAGTTCCATTCTGGGCCAGGTAGGAGCAGCCTTTGGGTTCCTTGTGAGTTGCCATTGTGGCCCCGTGACTGAGTAATTGGAGCAGCTCTGCCATCGATTCCAAGCTCAGAAGGGCCCATTGTGATCCTCTAGTATAGCACAGGCCAGAGAACGGCCCCCAAATGACTTCTAGAGCAGATCTTTTAGAAAAACAGCCAATCTCCATTTAAAAATTCTGTGATGGAGAGTCCATCATGACTTTTGGTAATTTGTTCCAACAGTTAATTACTTGCACTGTTAAAAATGTACACCTTATTTCCAATCTGAATTCGTCTAGCTTCAACTTCCAGCCATCGGATTATGTTAGACCTTTCTCTGGTAGATCGAAGAGACCACTCTTAAATATTTTTTCCCCATGAAGATACTTGTGGACTGTGATCAAGTCACTCCTTGCACTTCTCTTTGTTAAGCTAAATAGACTGAGCTCTTTGAGTCTGTCACTACAAGGCATGTGTTCTAATCCTTTAATCAGTCTTGTGGCTCTTCTCTGAACCCTCTCCAACTTACCAAAACTCTTTCTGAATTGTGGGCACTAGAACTGGACACAGGACTCCAGCAGCCGTCGCACCAGTGCCAAATATAGAAGTAAAATAACCTCTCTGCTTCTACTAGAGATTCCTTTGCTTAAGCATTCCAGGATCGCATTAGCTGAATGTGAACTCCCAGTGTGACACTGGTCAAAACAGCTGATTGTCCACCATGATCCCCAAATCTTTTTCAGAGTCACTGCTTCCCAGGATAGTCACCCGTTCTGTAAATATGGCTGACATTTTTTTGTTCCTAGATGTATATACACCTCTACCCCGATATAACGCTGTCCTCGGGAGCCAAAAATCTTACCGCGTTATAGGTGAAACCGTGTTATATTGAACTTGCTTTGATCCACCGGAGTGCACAGCCTCTCCTCCCCGCCCTCCCCCCGCGGAGCACTGCTTTACCGCGTTATATCCGAATTCGTGTTCTATCAGGTCGTGTTCTATCGGGGTAGCGGTGTATTTACATTTAATTGTATAAAAACCCATATTGTTTGATTGCGCCTAGTTTACCAAGTGATCTAGATCCCTGTCAGTGACTTCTCCTCTTCATTATTTATCATTGCTCCAATTTTTACATCATCTGCAACTTTCATTGATGATCTTATGTTTTCTTCCAGGTCATTGATAAAACTATTAAATAACCTAGGGCCAAGAACAGATTCCCACTGTGGACACACCCATTTAATTATGATTCCCCATTTACAGTAACATTTTGAGACTTATCAGTTAGCCAGTTTTTAATCCGCTTAACGTGTGCCATGTTAATTTTAGATCTAGTTTTTAATGAAAACATTGTGCAACGCCACATCAAATTCCTTGAAGAAATCTAAATCTATTAAGTCAACACTGCTACCTTTTATCAGCCAAGCTTGTAATGTCAAACTAAGTTAATTTTGTTATGACAGATCTATTTGCCACAAACCCATGTTGATTTGCATTAATTACATTATCCTCCTTTAGTTTAGTATTAATCAAGTCCTGTATCAGTGGCTCCATTATCTTGCCCAGGGTTGATGTCAGGCAGAAAGGCCTATAATTACCTTGGCACAATATTAGCCTTCTTCTAGTCTTCTGGAAGAACTTTCCCAGTGCTCCAAGACTTATGGAAAACCAGCATTAATGGTTCAGTGATCACCTCATCCAGCTCTTTTAAAACTCTTGGATGCAAGTTATCTGGACCTGCCGATTTAAAAATGTCTGACTTTAGTAGCTTCTGTTTAACATCCACCAGACATGGGAATGGAATGGGAAGAGTGTTACCACCACCACCATCTGTTTCCCCCCCACAATTATGGAACAGCAATACTGGTACATACCAGGGTACAGGCCAGACCAGTATGGGGCTGTGTGACCCCTGCCCTGCAGGGTGCCTTACAATGCCTTGCTGGAGTAGCTCCCACCTGGGCCACTCACAAACAGCCTTCCAGCATGCAAGCCACACCATGTGTCTGTCTGTAACAGCAGCCTGCTAGCCACCCTTGGCTTACACTGTAGCTCTCACTGGGTTTGGGTGACCCCAGCACAACCCCAGTCTCAGATTTTCCCCAAGAAATGTATGTCCTGTACTAGCCAGTACAAATATTTTGTCTGTTGTTCCTTTAATGGGATAATATGCCAGTGTATTATCTTAAGTAGTTATTCAGACACTTCAGTTCAAACACGCTGGATTAGATAAAACAGTAAAACAAGTTTATTAACTGCGAAGAGAGAGCTTTTAAGCGAGTACAGGTAATGAGGCATAAAAATCAGAAATGGTTACTAGAAAAATAAAGATTAAAGGCTTACTAATGCCTAACTTAACAAACTACATGAGATTCAAAGCAAAGTTTCTCACCACATGCTCCAGCAGTTTATTGATGAAACTCTGAGGTCAGGACCCCTCCCCCAGAGTCCAACTTCTGCTTCCTTTATCTCTTTAGGTGCAGTCAAAGCGATAGGCAGTGGGGGGGGAGGGGTGGGGGGTTCAGGTGTTTGTCCCTCCTTTTTATAGTTTGTCCCCCTCTTGAAAATCATTTCCCACTGGGCACAAGGAGACAAAGAGTCTATGTGGAAGAATGTTTCCTGCCAGCTTTCTTTGTTTCCTTTTCTGCTTGATGACTCTGTTTACTGCTTAGATGCAAATTAAGCAGCACTCATATTCCTTTGCTTAGGACAGACCTGTTTGCCAGCTTCTCTTTGGGCAGGGCTGTGGGGTTTGGAACATGTGGTAATAACACCATACAGGAGCGTCATAACTTCACACAGTGTTGCCACACACATTTTACCAGGACAATACTGCCCAGACTATTAAAAAATGATACCTTACAAGTGTATACAGAGATTATTACAATAGTGTCTAGGGTATGAATACAGGAATGTATTCTGTCTCTCATACTTACTGAACACACTGCCTTTTCTGCATTATTACTGATAATGTTACCGTTTCCATTTAGTAATGGACCAATACCATTGTCAGGGGTCTTTTTGTTCCTAGTATATTTTAAAAACTCATTGTCCTTAACTCTGCTGGTCGCAGATTTTTATTTGTGTTCCTTGGCTTCCCATATCAATTTTCTACAATTCCGAGATTCTTATTTATATTCATTACTATCAATTTCCCTGTGTGTGTGTGTGTGTGTGTGTGTGTGTATATATATATATAAATTAATAAAAGCATAGAGTTTAAGGCCAGAAGGAAACATTAGATCACCTAATCTGACTCCTGTATATTGCAGGCCATAAAATTCTCTATTACCTCTTACCATCGCGAGAGGTCTTCCTTTGGGAGTTTGTTCCAGTGGTTAATCACCCTCACCCTTTTTTAAAATAAAAATGTGCCTTATTTCTGTTTGAATTTGTCTGGCTTTGGCTTTCAGACATTGTTCTGCCTTTCCCTGTTAAATTAAAGAGCTCTTGAGTACTTGGTATTTTCTCCTTACACTCTGTAATCAAGTTAGATTGCGCTCTTTAAGTCTCTCATTGTAAGGTGGTTGTTTTTTTTACCAGCCCTCAAATGTTTTTGTGGCTTTTTTTTCTGCACCCTTTCCAAATTTTCCGTATCCTTTTTAAAACATGGACATCACACAATATTCCAGTATCAGTTTTACCCCCAATGCCATGTGCAAAGGTAAAATTCCCACCCTACTCCCCTTTCCATACATCTAAGAATCGCATTCCTCCTTTTTGCCAGAGCATCGCACAGGAAGTTCATGTGGAGTTGCTTGTCCATTATGACCTCACAATCCTTTTCAACATCACTGCTTTCCTTGTTTCTAGATGCATAACTTTGCATTTGTCTGTATTAAAACACATTTTGTTTAAACGGGCCCCGGTTATGAAGCAATCCAGATCACTCTGTAGGGTGGCTGTGTCTTCATCGTTATTTACCGCTCCAACAATCTTTGTGTCATCCCCAAATGTTTTCAGCAATGGTTTTACTTCAGGATCGTTGATGAAAGTTTTCCTAGTGTGTGGGTGAATACTGATCACTGCTGAACCTCACTAGAAACTCTCCCATTCAATGATGATTCCCTATTGACAATTTTGTTTTGTTTTGTTAAGGATAGTTCAGTTATCCAGTTCATGCATTTAACATGTGCTATATTGATATTGGCCAGAGATCTCCTCAGCCAGCTTTTCTAGGACTCTTGGGTGCAAGTTATCCAGGTCTGCTGATTTGAAAATATTTGTTCTTAGTAGATGCCAGTTAATATCCTTGTTAGTTACTAATGAACTAGAAAGTATTTCATCATCTGACTACATCATTCTGCTTCTTTCAAAATGATATTTATTGAACACTTCTGTCTTATCTGTATCATTATTAATGATTTCTCTCTATGTAATAATAATGGCCTATCCCATGGATTTTTTTCCTTGATGTCTTTAGCTTCCCTTATAAATGTTCTGCACTCCATAACTTCTGACTTCTATTGATTGCTATCTAGTTCCCCATTTGTTATATGTTTCTGTTTTATTTCAAGTAGCTGCCTTCGCTTTGCCTCTGGATCAGGCTGGGCTTTTTGCCAAAGATGTCGTCTTTTTGGATTGTAGAATTAGATTTTTGGCCATTTAATAAACTCTTCTGAAACAACTCCCTATTTTCATTCACATTTTTCTGTCTAAATTTTTTCTCCAATCAGTTTTGCTCAGAATATTCCTCAGCTTTGGGAAATCGACTCTTTTGAAGCACCAAGATTATATATTGCTCGTTGGGACTCTCCTCTCTTTGCCCATATGGAATGGAACCAGGTCATTATTTCTGATCCCTGTTACACACCTAACTCCTCTTGTTCCCTGGCCTGTAACAGACCCCTACCCACTACCCCCTTCTGTGCTGTTAGGTAGGTCACTGATCCAGACACATTCAGGATCTGTGGTTCTGAGTGATCCGTCACTCTAAAACCGGTAATTGTGTCTTTAATGTAGAGTGTCTCTCCACACACCTTTTACCTACTCTGTGCTTCCTGAACAAGTTGTAACCAGTGACTCTAACATTACAGTCTTGTGAATTGTCCCGTCAGGTTTCAGTGATGCCAATTATATTAAATTTATTCTTGTCAGTGAGAATTTCCAATTCCTCTTTCTTGTTCCCCAGATTCCTAGCATTGGTATGTGAATGATCGCAATCTTCTCGCCACATTCTTGGCTGTATCAATTCAGTTTGTTCGCAACACGCTGAGTTCATTTGTACATGGTTTGCCTCCTTCTCCTGGTTGTGGTAGTTTAATACCCTCCTGGCTGCCTCCTTGTCCGCTGAGACGGTGAGCCTGTGAGATGCAGGCTGTCCTGTTCGTACCGCCCCTGTCCCACTGCAGTGTAACCCAGCGTTCCACAGAACTGCAGGCACAACATGGAGCTGTGGGGTGTTCTCAGCGTCTGTAAAACCCCTCAGGTCCTGGCTCTCTTATGCAGTACGTATCTACGAGCATCTAGGAATCTGCCTCGGGCCTACAAGTAACCTCCGAGGTGTAATGCTGTCCAGGGCCATGGTAACTCGGCCTCTGCTTTGACTGCTGGGATTTCTACTGACTTACCCATTGTGTGGAAGCCATCTCTCCCTGTGAGCGAAGGGGTCTCCTGCGGGGACTGAGGGTGCAGGGACTGGCTGGGGCTCCCTCTCCCAGAATTAGCCTTCAGTCAACATGGGCCAAAAGCTGCTGCTTGTTTTCACGCTTGGAACCAGTTTGAAGCCTGTGGCCTGGCTTTGGTCACGCGTTACACTTAGAATCCAGTGGTGGGTTCCCCTGAGTCCTAGCAGAGCCACAGGCATCAAGGTGAGGGGCTGGCAAACACGCACAGTGGGAGCTGCCATCCTTCCGTCACGCATGTGAGCACGTGTGCACACGGGGATGCCAGGAGTGGCTGCACTCCTCTTCCCTGTGCAGAGGAGGCGCAGCAGCTGCTAGTGGCATGGCCTGTGAGGGAGTGGCAGGGAAGTGGGCACTACCTGCCTCCAGCAGAAAACCAGGAAAGGCCAGAGCTTTGGGCAGTGGGCGGAGCCACTGGGTGGCATCTTGCAGGATAATGTGCTGCCACTTCTCTCTCTCTCTCTCTCTCTCTCCCGCCCCCTCATTAGCTCGGAGGTTTGCTCCTTTCCTGCTGAGTATTCAGTGTGGTCCAGCAGTGTCGGATTTACTGGCACTGTCGGACTTGCTGAGTCAGCCCTTCCCAAGGCCCAGGGCACCTGGCAGGTTTTTGGGATCCCTGCTCCTCACCTGAATTAACCTAGTGCCCCTAGAGCCGGGAAGTTTGCTGGCAGCCGCAGGGGAAATGCTAGACAGTGAGCGCCCTTGTTTCCCACATGCTCTGCTTGGTCCCGCCAATCCGGCCTGTACAGACAGAGGAGGCGCAGGGGGTGGCAGCAGCTGGCAGAGGAACAGAGGCCCTAGTACTGCTCCCCACCCTTGGGTGAACAGCGAAGCTCCCTGTGCAGAGGGCCACAAGCTCCTGGTGAACCTGGGGCCCTGGGGTGGAGGCTAATTGTTGCCGTCAGTAAGCATGGCTGTAGTGGTGCGTTTTCCCTTCTCCTCAGGAGGTGGGGCCGTGCACGTATCTGGGCCAGCTAGATCAGCCACGGCTGCCTGTCTCTCCTCACTCAGCCCTAATCTCTCTGCCCTCTGCATTTCAGTGAATGGGGACTCTGCTGGTGCCACCGACGCTGAAGAGGAAAGGTCTGTGGTGGGAGTGACCTCGCCACCTGCAGCAGTGTCAAGCGAGACCCCCGGGTCCACCGCTGCCACCCTTCCTGCTTCATCCGTCCCTGGGGAGCCAGAGGAGCCGGCCCCTGCCTCAGGCACCCAGTCACCTCAGGCTGCAGCACAGGCCTTGGAAGCTCTACCTCCCGGGTAAGCAGCTCCGTCTCCAGCCTCAGGCCCATTCCAAACACGGTGTGGTCCATTCCCAGGGCAGGGCACCACGGCGCTTGCTCCTCACGTGCTGGGGTAGGGGGAGTGAGGCTAGCTCTGTGCAGAGAGGAGCTTGAGTGGTCTGGGCCGTTGCTCTGAGCCTACAGGAGCAGCTGTGTTGGAGAGGGGGGCTCTGTTCTGCCAGGCTGGCTATGGAAACACAAAAGCACATGGGGCTCTGGGCACCTTCTGAAGCAGTACAGACAAGCAACCGGACTGTGACAGACCTGGTCCATGGACCGCATCTGTGTTTGGCTATACGTGGGGACTGACCTCTCCTCCCTCAGCAGGGGGTGGGCCAAGGCTGTATCCGTTTCACATTCTCAGGGGCTATACACAGCGGCAACATGACACATCCCTTGCTGTCAGGTCCCCAGGAGAGGAACTGCGCCTTTTGCTCTCCCTGAGCAGGACAGAAGGTGTCTGTGGCGCATACATTACAAAGAGATGGGAAATTTCCAGAGTGCTCCCTTTAAACAAGAGGGCCTGAACATTTTTTTAAATAAACTCTTAGAAACATGTAAGGGTCCTGCTCCCCAGTCAGTTTGAGGGGGGGGGGTCACACTTAGCTGGGATCGCCCATGCTAGCTGCTATACAGAGAAATGTGGGAAGGGTTAGCTCAGTGGTTTGAGCATTGGCCTGCTAAACCCAGGGTTTTGAGTTCAATCCTTGAGGGGGCCATTTAGGGAACTGGGGTAAAAATCTGTCTGAGGATTGGTCCTGCTTTGAGCAGGGGGTTGGACTAGATGACCTCCTGAGTCCCTTCCAACCCTGATATTCTGTTCTATGAAACAGTGGGTCTGACCAGACAAAGTGTGCTGTCAGATGCACACAGGAGGTGGAACCAGCGAGAGCTCTGCTCTTGGGTTTCTGTCCAGTCCTGGGCCTTTCCAGACTCACAGGTAACAGCAGGAGGTGAAAAAAGCTTCAGAGCAGAATTT